TGCTGCCGTTTCAAACTGAACGAGAAGCAAGGCTTTAATGGCTGAACAGATATTCGTCGGTGTGCGATCTTCCGTTTTGCAAGTAGGGCACGAACAAAGACCTTGAAGTTACCAACAAGTGGCGTCGGGTCCAGAGACCACCACTGAATAACGTCTTCTCACCGTTTGAGAAAAACACCTTTGGAGGCGACAATTGCCTCTCCGATTTGTCGGGTGTTACTACGCTTTAAAGCTTCTCAAGAAACCACCTGACGCATTCACGTTTCAATCGGACTTCCCACGTGCAACTGGCTTTGCTCTGCTAAGACCGACTGTTCCGTAATGGGCAGAAAGAAAGTAGAGAAAAATTAAAAAGTTGCCTAAGAAAGTTAACTACCTCAAGTCCCTTTCGACTGCTTTGTACGAAACGGCAGGAATAATTGATACAATGATTCGACCGGTTTAACGCACCCTGTTTAATTTACATTCTTTCCCCGCTCTACAAGCTCCAAAAGTCATAATGCACGTTTTAATTGCTGTTACAATGGAATAATCATCGTAATGTCAATGCTTCTTGTAGCTTCCGCTGTACACATGTTATTCTATGCCTCTTTCAATTTGCAGTTTTTGTTAGGGACCCTTGCAAATTGTCCTTGATGCATTTGCTTTGGCCATTTAGTCATCGATCATTTACGTGACTTCCAAAAAACTGCCTCTGTTCGATACTCACATTTTTCCGTTCAGTATATATTTTATTTTTTAAGGTCTGATGCTATTCAACCTTTATGTCCTCGTCGCAAACCGCTGGAGCGGCAAAGACACGGATCCCATATTCACGCATTTGCTTCAACGACAAATACCTATCGTGAACCCAAAAATCGTCGACAAACAAAGAAATCCTCATTGAGAAATAATGGTTTACTCGCGTTATGGTTTACTTAAAACAGTTGTGAATGGGTCTAACTAAGGAAGCTCTGAAAACTAGAAAAAATGATTGGGTGCCACCATCGGTATTGCCCTGAAATAAAGCATGATGACCTTCTATCGTCCCTATTGAACTGAAAATCGGTAGTCGGGACGAACTAGAGCGCTGCAAAACGGTTCATAGATGATTTTGAAGAAACACTTGAAAACGACATTTTTACGATATTTGTATGGCCGCAACATGACGAATGTGGCGTATCGCCAACCTCATGTCACTGCTCCGGATTTTGATTCATGCGGCGTAGATTCACGACCCTCTTCCTTCCAACTGCTTAGGACATTCTAAGCAGGCTATTGCTCCCTGGTATTGTAGCATTTACAGGATGGACACGAAACCGCATCGCTGTGCTGACCAGAAAACCAGAAAACGAACGTTACAAACGTCAATCAAAAAGCCCTTGTTATTATTTATGATGGCTTTTAACTGATGGCAGTTTTCAACGAAACGTTAGCACTATTTCAGAGAAAGACTGTCGCAGAGGCGCTGAAATTTTGCTTTTACGGACTCCAAGTTCGCACAAATGCCAGGAGCGAATGAAATCGGCGGTAATTGCTTAAGAATCGAGAGAGGTAAAGCTTTTTTCATCAACTCCAGCTAAGCAACACACTGCGGATGCCAGAACAATAAACGAAGCAACGGAAATGAAACCAGTTCGTTTTGCCCATCGTATAAATCACAGCGGCACAAATAAATGAACAAGGACCAAGCGCCGGTGTCGAAAAGAATCGACAAAAAGCTGCTGCTCCACGTCTACGATTCAGAGAGAATTCATATATATGAGACAGAAACGTCCTAAATTTAATTTCGCCATGTGCCACGTAGCATACTACGAGACGATAAAACGTCCAATTAACATAAAAAATATAATTGTAGCGGTTTAATTGTTTTGTGTAATTGAATGTTCCAAAATTTACTGCCACGTCAAAGATTGTACTACAAGAAAATGATAAGGCATCGCATTGTTGGCGCAATTTCACTTCGTTCAAACTGTATACATTATTCGTATAAGAAAATTTTAATCATCAGCGGTCAGCCTATCACAGAGCTGAACAGAGAGAAATGCAAAATGTTACTCACTGTATAAGGGTATGGCATGTTGCCTCACTGAACTCATGGATGCCGTTCCTCACTCTTATCGTCAGAGTATTTTATTTCTTTGTCTCACATAGACATGTTTTTAGCACAAGAAGTTTACTCATCGGCCGGTGTGCCAAATTTTATTATACAACCTGAAGGTCTATAACCGGCACGCTGATTCCACATAATTACCTTCGAGACCGCGTTGCTCCAGGTACTCTGACCAGTACATTCTAATCGAATTAGATACAAGCAAATATTACATAAAAAAACGAAAGTTAAAACGTATCTCACAGAAATCCCCGTGATATAATTGCAACAACGTGCAATACATATACAAAAGAAGTTTTTGGGACAATGCTTAAAAAGCATATGAATTATGCTGTGGCAGATTTCACGACAAATAAGAAAAATGATGTTGTTCACCCCGGTTAAATACTCAAGACAAGAAACGTAATGCATAAATGAAAATGAAAGTTTTCCATGACGTGACCATCGGTTCAAGCCTAAACAATCTCTGTTGCTGTCATTATTTACGATCGTCAGGTACATAACAATGAGGGCAACGCAGATATGACTAGAAAGCTGACATTGTCAATGATCGTATTGTAGATTGTACCAAAAGACATCTCATTGCTTATTGCACAACTCAATAACTCCTTAGTAAATTGGAAAATTAAGGATAACTTAATCTGTTAATTTAGCAGTTCTTTCAATTCTTCGCAAGGACGTTCGACCTGGATCCAATCCATTATAGATACGCTCAATTATGAGCCTTTTTATTCCAGATGGAAAAATTCCGCTAACGGTTGTTTCAGCGCAAGACAGATGCATCACAGGAATAGCAAACATAATGGAGTTCTTAAGCAAACCACGTGGAAGGCGACGAAGTGAAGAGCAGAGGCTGTGAAATAATTCGGATATAATAACGAACACAAAATATTTGCAACCGTCAAAGGTCAACGCATGGCGCTGGCCAAATTAGGTAACAGTTACGAACACTAGGATATAAACTACGCTGCTTCGAAAACTCGACAAATAGAAACTCATAGGACATTCAGCA